GGTGGGGCGCCCCATCTCCGGGGGACCCGCGGGTCATTTGTCTTACTGCGCGCGCCGCGGGGCGACCCGTCCCGGTGGTGTAGGGAGCCTCCCGTGAACCTGGGTCTGCGCTGCGCTGGTCCAGCTCATCCCCGCGCCTCCCGCCCAGCGGGGCAGGGGGAGGCAGAGGCTGCGCTGGAGTGGATGAAAATGCGCCAGGCTCCCAAAATGCGGGGATTATGTGTGGGAGGGGCAGGGAGGCTGGGGGGTTTTGTTTGGAGAGGAGGAAGATACTCTGATTAAGAATGCCTGGGGGACCCTATGACCCAGTTTAATACCTCACTGTAGTAAAAGGAAGGAAGGAAGGAAGGGAGGAAGGAAGGAAGGAGGGAAGGAAGGAAGGAAGGAAGGAAGGAAGGAAGGAAGGAAGGAAGGAAGGAAGGAAGGAAGGACAAGGAGAAGAATGCTTGGGTCTGGGAGAGCAAAGGACCTGGAAAAGAAAGTATTTGCATGGGTATGTGGGCCACCTGAGCCCCCAAGCCGGTGCCTGAAGAGAGGAAACTGGGCTGGAGGAATAGGGAGAAGATCCCGGAACCAGCCTGAAAATCCAGTTGCTGGAGGGGAGGGCTGATGGAGGGGGTGGGCTTGGGGAACAGGCTCGGAGGACAGTCTGGGGCTGCTACCTCCCTCCCCTGGATTTCCCTTCCCTTTCCGTGTGGGGGTAGGGTCTGTGCACTGAAACAGCACCCAGAATATACCAGGTGCACTCCTGAGAACTTTGTGTCGTCTCTCATTTAATCTTCACATAAACTGTAAGGTAGGCTCTATTGACACCCCCATTTCACAGACGAGGAGCCTGAGGCACAGTAAGGGGAGGTAACCGCTAGGCTAGAGTGTGACAGAGCTGACATTTGCTCCCAGGACAGTTTGTTTAACACCATGGCCTTGGCTCTTAATCACTGTATATGGTGGACTGGCAGAGATGGGCAGCCCGAGAGAGGAGAGGGAACTCTAGAACTGAGAGCGTTAAGGGTGTCAAATATTTCAACTTCTAATAGTTTAGGTGATGGAAAACAGAAATCAGAATGAACTTTTGGCTATGGCCAGTATTGCTCAGTGGTTAGAATGTCGGTCTATGCACCGGAGGGTCTCAGATTCTATTTTCAATCAAGGGCAGGTACCTGGGTTGCAGTTTTGATCCCGCCACCCCCTCCCACCCCGTTTGGGGTACATCTGAGAGGCAACCAATAGATCTCTCTCTCCCTCCCTCCCTCTCCCTCCTCCCTTGCACTCTCTATAAAAATCAATGGGAAAAATATCCTCACTCCTTCAGTGAGGATTAAAACAATAAAGAATCAACTTTTGGATTAGCGTTACCATCTTTTAGCCCTGGGTCCCCTCTGTAACTCAGCCCCCTCAGTGGGGTGCTGATAACCTGGCCCTTCTGTGTGTCAGGCAGGCCTCTTTCAGGGATTAAACTCTCTCAAGCCTCCTAATAAGGAAACAGCTGCAGAGAGGTTACCAGGCAAATGGTCACACAGCCTGGGATTGGGGAGGCTGGATTTGAACCCAAGCAGTTGCCTACTGAGTCCTCGTTCTTCAAGACCACATGATACTGCACATTGCCCATTTTACAGATGCCCAAACTGAGTACCTGTCTCAAAGTCTGTGGCTTGAAAGGGGAGAGATTCAAGGGAAAACTGCTGATGGCAAAGCCCATGTTCAAGAGGATTCATCATTTAGTCAAGGTTTCAATAGATTGAGAAATTTCAAATTGAAGTCCACTTGTTTTCTTTTGTAAAAATATGTACATTGATTTTTAGAGAGGGAGAGGGAGAGGAACATCAATGTGAGAGAAACATCAATCAGTTGCCTCCCATACATATCCCAACAGGAATTGAATCTACAGCCTGGGTATGTGCCCTGTGATTGGAAATCAAACCGGCGGGTCATGGGACAACCCTCAACCAACTGAGCCACATCAGCTAGGGCTTTATCATTTTGAAGATGTACTTTTATTTATTTAACTTTGGTTAATCCTCACCGGAGGATATTTTTTCCATTGATTTTTTTTTTTTAAGAGAGAGAGTGGAAGAAAGGGGGAGAGACAGAGAGAGAAACATTGATGTGAGAGAGACACATTGATTGGTTGCCTCGGGGATCGAGCCTGCAACCGAGGTACATGCCCTTGACCGGAATTGAACCTGAAACCTTTCAGTCCACGGGTGACCATGCAGGTTAGCCCATTGCCCACGGGTGACGCTCTAACTGCTGAGCCAAACTGGCTAGGGTACGATGTACATTTTTACATCTCTGAAGTTGTAATACATCTTACAATGGAAGACAGACTTCTTTCTCAGCAGTACATAAATAATGGCACCTTTGGTTTAATGAATTAACATCCCTGTTGATCTTCGTGGTGGGCACCGTGGGCAACGGGCTAACCTGCCTGGTCATCCTTCGCTACAAGGCCATGCACACGCCCACCAACTACTACCTCTTCAGCCTCGCAGTATCGGACCTGCTGGTGCTGCTCCTAGGCATGCCCCTGGAGCTCTATGAGAAGTGGCGTAACTACCCCTTCCTCCTGGGTGCTGGTGGCTGCTACTTCCGCACGCTGCTCTTTGAGACAGTCTGCCTGGCCTCTGTGCTCAATGTCACCGCCCTGAGTGTGGAGCGCTACGTGGCCGTGGTGCACCCACTGCAGGCCAGGTCAGTGATGACCCCAGCTCATGTTCGCCGGATGATCGGAGCTATCTGGAGCCTTGCCTTACTCTGCTCTCTGCCCAACACCAGCCTCCATGGCATCCAGCTGCTGGATGTGCCCTGCCGGGGTATAGTGCCCGACTCGGCCGAGTGCAAGGTGGTCCGCTCAAAGGCCTTCTACAGCCTACTCATGCAGGCCACAGCACTGCTCTTCTTCTGCCTGCCCATGGCCATCATCAGCGTGCTCTACCTGCTCATTGGGCTGCGGCTGCGGAGTGAGAGGCTGCTGCTGCTCAGGCAGGGGCCCCAGAGCAGGGTCCAGCGACTACAGGATAGGAGTCGGACACAGGTGACCAAGATGCTGTGTAAGTGTTGCTGCTGGGAAAAGGGGCTGATCGAGACAGTGGGTATGAGTCTGGGGCTTCCAGGGCCTGGGGAAAGTGCTGCATCCGAGTTTATGAGTGTAAGGCTTGGAATTACATACCCCTCTGTGTGTGTGTGTGTATGTACAGGTGCACATACATATGTGCTTGCATGCATACTGTTTTAGAAACTAACACCAGAGGTAAATGCTAATGGCTTCTGGCAGGATTAGCTACATAATTTGCAGGGCCCAGTGCAAAATGAAAATTCAGGTTTCTTGTTAAAAAATCATTAAGGTTGTCAAGACAGCAACAGTAGAGCATTAAACCATTTTAAACTCGGGCCCTGTGCAAATGCACAGGTGGCTCACGGACCCAAACCACAGACAGGGCAGGCGACATCGCTGGGTTCCAGGATAACAGAGCTGTTCATGGCATCTGCACCCTCCAGGTCTCTCATCTTGGCTGCTAAACATGTCTTGGCTCTGTCCTTTCCTACATCAGCCTGAAGGCATGGCCATAGGCTTTCCTGAGGAACTGTTCTCTTTCCTTAGTGGCTATTGAAAAGTTCCAGAAAAGGATTCTGGTAAGTGGGGTTAGGTCATGGCCCATCCCCAGGCCAGAATAACAGGATGCTGAAGTGACTACTCCCACAGAACCATATGGGGGGATCTGGGGAGATCTGCAAATGCAAGATAATGATTTCTTCCATCTATGTTTGCCGTTCCCTGGGGACCATGGGAGTGATCAGTGTCTAAAAGAGGATTGTCAGAAAAATAAATAAACAAATAAATAATAAAAGAGGATTGTCAGGAGGGGTGTTTGTGAGGGCCAGAGCATAGGAGAGTCAGGGCAGAAGTGTGGACTGGAGCCAGCCAGGGCATGCAGCTGGGTTGAGGTTCTAGATGTTACTGTGCTCTAGACGGGGCTCTTTTTCAAAAACAGTGGCCCCGGGGAAGCAAGACAAACTAATACTAAGTCAGTCATTGATTTCCATCCCATCTCATTCCACCTTAGCAGGGCCTGAATCAAGCAGATGGGTTGAGCCAGGGCAGGACAGGATGGTGAGGCCTTGGTCAAAGCCATGGGATTACAGCCAGCTAACTGAGGACTGCCCCATTCCCAGAGAGAAGCCCACCCCCCACCCACCCCTGCCCTGGGTGTGGTGTCCCAGGGAGTGGTGTCACCTGTCATCCCCCGGAGTTCCTTGCTCGCTTCCCAGCTCTGCACTGTGAAGC